TTTTCTTTCTCTCCCAAATATTTCCATTCCACATTCACTTGTTGCATCATTCATGTTCCCATAGCAACCTTCCATCTCCTCTCTTAGCAATGATCCCCCGATGGTTAGTGTGAGTGTGTGTTACTAATACTGATACGAAAATGTGCTGCACTGTCTGTGTCGCTGTGATATTCTGGTCTATAGATACCTGTGAAAGAAAAAAAACAGTAACCTAAAACATCTAAGTTAGCTAGTCAATATTATGTAATATCACTGAATAACCTAAATAGATTAATTTATACCAACAAAACTAAATTTGTGTTTTCATTGAGTGTGATGCGTAAATTTGACAGAATCATAACAGCACAGCTCTCCTCAACAAACCTCATGATCTGATATCTGACCTGTATTAATAATCTCATAACCCCCCTCTGATAGCATCACTGTATCATGACTCAATGATGATGTTTATGTATTAGAATGACTGCACATTCAGACACACAGTCCTAAAAGAGCTGCTATTGTTCAGATCCTCACTAACAAGTACAGCCGATTTCACAGAAGCAAGAAATAGCCACAAACGCTTGTGTAGCTCTGCGGGTCACATCATCAGTGCATGCTGACAGCTGTATTTCTCTCATTAAGGCAAAGGTTTATTTCCCATCCTCCCACAGCCCTATTCATCTCTTCATTCATCACATCTCAATCCCTTTATCCTTCAGAGAAGAGAGAAAATTACTATCAATTAGGATTGAGAAAAAACGAGATCTTAAACATAAAGCTGATTGCAATTTAACTAACATTTTCACGGAGCTTTCAAAATGTGTAATTGTAGCAGAAGAGTTCGTCTGTTTGGGGTCAGTACGGTTTTTTTAGCGTTAAAGAAGTCTCTTCTGCTCATCAAGGCTGCATTTATTTGACCAAAAAAATCAATGAATACAAGTAAATACAAATAAACTGTAATTTATTCCTGTGATCAAAGCTGTATTTTCAGCATCATTACTGCAGTCTTCAGTGTCACATGATCTTCAGAAATCATTCTAATATGCTGATTTGCTGCTCAAGAAACATGTCTGATTATTATCAATGTTGAAAACAGTCGTGCTGCACAATATCTTTGTGGAAACTGTGATACATTTTATTTTTCAGGATTCACAGATGAATAGAAAGTTCAAAAGAACAGCATTTATTTAAAACAGAAATCTTCTGTGACATTATAAATGTCTTTACTGGCACTTTTGATCAATTGAATCCATCCTTGCTGAATAAAAGTATTAATTTATTTCAAAATTCTTACAGAACCCAAACAGCTGTATATACATATGCACAGTCTGGATGCATGATATGCTGATTAATTGTCTATGTAAACCTTTGGCTATTGTTTCACATCTTTCAGTTTTTCAGCATCTTGCGGCATGAAAGCACCATGTCAACCCTAATGTAAAAAAAATACTAAAATGTATTTGAAATACATTTATTTTTTGCTAAGTATACTACAAATATATTTAGATATGTATGTGCTTAATAAAAATACCCTGCATTTGTACTGGTACACTGTAAAAAAAATTCCGTTAAATTTACGGTAAAAAAACGGCAGCTGTGGTTGCCGGAATTTTACCGTAAAAAATACGGTAGCGACGTTTTAGGTTTTAACTTAAATTTACAGTTAAATATCGTAATTTCATTAACTGATATAATGTTAATATACCAACCTATTGAAGTACTGAAATCTGTTTTGTACATTTGTAATACGCTGATAATCACCAAATGCAGGCGGTGATGAGAAAGTCACATGATGAACCAAAGCCCATCACAAGCAGCTTTTAAATACTAACATATATAGAAGGTGCACAGTGTCATTCACACAAACACTAAACACCATCATGATAACACACATGAAACTGAAATCATGCAATAAACATTCAGTAAAATGCTACAGCAGTTAACAACATTAGGTGTAACATGCAACCCTAAAATACAAAACTGATAAGAAAAAACTAAGAAGAAACATAGTTATTTCAACAAAAAAACATCAAATTTGAAATGTAACTCAGGGAATTCTGGGAATGTCAATTTACGGTTATTCACTGTAAATTATACAGTCTTTTCCACTTCCAAAAACGGTATACTATCGTAAAATTAATGTCCAATACATGTAACGTCCAATAAAGTTTTTCACCGTATATAGCAGGGGAATTTACCGTTAACCATTTAACAGGTTTTTACTGTAGCATTTTTACAGTCTTTTACCGTTAAATTCACTATCATTTTTTACAGTGTATGGTTAAAGTCTGCTAAATTGGAACAACTAATTTTGTGCCTAATGCACTTTACTTGTGTGGAAGTAGTACTGAGGTCCAACTAAATACTTAAGTTTATTTGATTGTGCTAAAGTGGAACTATTGTGAGTATACTTCAGGAACAATTTAAAACACATTTCAGGCATAATATTAAGAAATGTGCAATGTGCAATAAAGAAATACTTCAAAGAAAGTTAATTATAATTTTATATCAATAGATCTTAAGTGATATGTTAATTGTGTTAATGGATTTGAAGTATACTTAGCATGAAATAAATGTATTTTAAATAAATTATGGCATAGTTGTTGTTTTTTTGGTTTTTTTACAACTTTGATCGTCTTGTGCACTCAATTTTCTAACAACACTGAATGAACAGGGCTAGATTGATCGCTATTTATCTGTCTTTTTATTCCAAACTCTAGTTTTGTACTACTTAATTGTATATATCTCAGTGCTCCTCACTGCTCAATCAGAATTCACTACACACCCATCCAAAACTCTGCGGCGTGACTCCTGTTTGACCTCTAGAAATCCTCTTGGCTTTGCTCTGGACTCCAGCAGCTGCTGCCATTGGATTCATGTCACTGTTTCTGTGTGCTGTTACAGCAGAGCCTCTGCTCCACCCCTTCACTACCCACAATCCATTACAGTCCATTATCAGACAGTATATGTCCCAGAACGGCCACTGCCAGCGCCGATATGAGCCTCCTCATCTCTGCACTCCAAGAGACACTGCCTGAGTGTATATGCCGTGAAAATAACTATATCATTCAAATGTAAATTAATTTTAGGGCTGGGTAGTGCATGCAAGTTGTTTTCTATAAGCAGTATGTGTGTGTGTGTGTGCTCAATTTCAGATGAAAAGCATTGTGTGCTTAATGGCTACTAATTACATTTAGACTAATGTGTTTGTGATTTATGTCCTTACTACCCCCACCGTGACACGAGTCCCCATGAGTCTGTGTGTATTCAGGTTTAAGTCCCCACCAGAATAGAAAAACAGGTACACACGCACACACACACACACTTATCTATCCCAATGGGGGCCTTCCATAGACGTCTATTGTTCTTATAGGCAGCTCGTCATCAACAATTGTAAAATTGTAAAAATAACAATTGTATGCAAACTACAGTTTAGTTAAATAGGTACACACACCATAATTCATGCAGGAACTTTCTACTATCTCTAAATGATCATAAATGGATGCTGATTTGCTAACTCGTGCAACATTTGTGACTGTCGAGGCCCGTTCACACTGAGGACATACAACAATAAATATAACTACACTTTCACAGCAAATTTTTTTTTTCGCGCTGAAGAATGATAAAAACATTGACAGGCAATCAGAATCCACCGACTTTGAAGAGCTTGAGCATTTATGACAGAACTGCAGCGCACTTATAATAAACATAATGTTATCGTCCATTTATGTAGAAGCAAATATGTGGATGCTAATATTATTGTTATAGTTATCATTACAGTTATCGTGTGTTGGTGCGGATGCAAATATAGTTGTCGTTATAGATATCATCCATTGGTGTGGACGCTAATATAGATATCATTATAGTCATTGTAATAGTTATCATTTGTTATCTAGTTATCATTATAGTTATTGTTCTTGGTGTGAACAGGACGTTACTCCTAAAACGTACACAAAGAGCATGTAATGTAGCAGTGATGTATATAACAGCAGAACTGCACTCAGAGAGAGCTGCTGTGTTATCATCACTACTGCTGACCAACTACTAAACATCCCACACATGTCCTGTTGTGGAGAACACACACACACACACACACACACACACACTCACACACAGACTCACACACACACACACACACTCTGAGTTACACCACAGAAGCATTACAGAGTGAACTGCTCATAATAGCACTTCCCAAAGGACAGCGAGGCCACGACACACACAAACAAACACACTTATCACTAACATGACGCTTCAACATTTCCTCAGAAGAAAGAGGGGGATGAAAGGGACACAGAAAGAGAGAGAGATGAAAGGAAAAGCTGCAAGCAGTATAATGTCTGTCTTTGGCTGCCCTCAGTTAATGCCCATTGTCTTGTTGTCTTTCTCTGCTGAAATTAAACCAGTGTTTGTGCTTCAGTGATGCACAGAAAGGGCCATCTGTCACCCTCAACCAGGGGATGCCTGTATTCCAATATAACATCTAATAAACATCACCTTTGAGCATAGAATAGGACAGAAATGAAGACAAAAAAAATTTTGAAATACAAAAGGAAAAGATCAAAACGGGGGACAGAGAGTGTCAGAGAAGCAGAAGGAGGCAGAGAAGATTGTCGGAGTGATCTTCAGCTAAAGGTCAGCCTGGTGTCACGTTGCTAATAGGATTAATTACTGCATTTGCACCCCACCAACCCTCCATCCCCCTGTCATCACTCTCCAGTCCCGCTCTGTGACAAACAGCCGCTCCACATTTCTGAGAGCCTGCAGCTTGAAAAGGTGTGTGGAATACTCCAAGTAATCTCTGCGGATGCATACCGCTCGCCACACCAGTGGAGTAATCCAGATGGACACACACTCTCTGAGCTGAGCCCGGTCTGGATGTGTGTACAGGACACACACACACACACACACACACACACAGACAGAGAGATGGCAGGATATGAAAGGGGATAAAACAGTGTGAGACCCCTGTCATGCCCTCCACACATACATACACACACACACACACAGAAAGGACTCACCCCTGGCAGGGTTTTCTGTTCATGAAGAGCACTTTGTGCTTTAATGGCTGACTCCCGTGCACAATACGTCAGAAAGGCACATCCTAAGACAGAAAGACACACTATTAGTATTCATTGACAGTTTGTACAGTATTTGCAATGTTTTTTTCTTATATAAATACAAATAATTTTAATTGATGCAAAATTATTATTATCAGTCATATGTAGTAATTACCTACATTTTAAATTGAAATTCACTTTTTGAATCAATGTTTTTTTCCTGTACTTCATATAGATTATATGCAGCATGATTACACATGATGAGTGACAGAAATGTAATTTCACACTCATTACATTTTGTCAGTGGGGCTTCTGGGATAGCTCACCCTGAACTCACACACACACACACACACACACACACACACACACACAGACACACACACACACACACACACACACATACACACACACACACACACACACACAAAGCTACAAAAAATCATGTGTGTTTGAGTCAGTGTTATTTTAGTATCATTGATATACTTGTGTTTGTTAATATTTTGAATTTGATTTTATTTATATATTTTCTGTTTTCATTTTCATTTTAGTTTAAGTTTTAGTAATTTTGTTGTGTGTTTTTGTCATTTTTAAACATGTTATCCAGTTAACAAACGCTTTAATTAGTTTTAATTTAGTTTGAGTTATTTTAGTACTTCAACTTAAACTAAACAAAAATGAGAAATGTTGCCTTGGTGCCTAGCTGAAATAAAATATGTTTATAATTTTTTTTTCCATATCAGTTTATGTTTGTTTTATTTCAAGTAAAGGAATTGTTTTTAAATGTTTTTATTTTTAGTAAACGATAATAACCCGGGTTTGAGCTGGTATGCTGGTTAGTAAGATGCTAGTGTTACACAAGGGAGCAATTTGGGATTATATTAGCCTGTTCATTGACATAAAGGAATAATCATCGAAAACTGAAAACGCTGTTATCATTCACTCACCCTCATGCTCCTCCAAACACATGACTTTACATTTTCCAAGGATCACAAAAGAGGAATTTTTGAAGAATATCCCAGCTACTCTTTTCCATATAATGAAAGTCAATGGGGACCAGTGTGTTAAGATACAAAATAACAAAACAAGAATCACGGCACCATATCAGCAGTCCATACAACTTGTGTGCTACCAGCATTCTTCAGAATATCTTCTTTTATGTTCCACAGAAGAAAGAAAGTCATACGGGTTCGGAACAACATGAAGGAGAGTAAATAATGACAGAATTTTCATTTTTGAATGAAGTCACCCTTGAAGTCATTATTCACTAGAAAAGGGTGGAATACACTACATGGATTTTGCACAGATTTTTTGCCCCGATTTATAATCTGGACAAGCTGAAACTAGTTGGCGAAAGTCAGAGCCAGTCTGCAGATTTGAGTTGACAGATTTCATAGAAAATCACGTCTCAGAATTTTTTAGCTTCAGACTATAATTCCATCCACTCAGAGCACACTGTAAAAAAATGAGTGTAATTTTAACTGTAAAATATTGTAAAAACGCTACGGAAAAAAACTGTTAATAGGTTAACAGTAAGTTCCCGTACTATATACAGGGAAAAACTGTAAAAGATCCAACCAGCCATTTCATGTAATTTTACAATAAAATGCTGTTAACTGTACAATTTTTAGAATTAAAAAAAGAACAAATCAACGTATAATTTACAGTAAAAAAACGGTAAACTGATATTCCCAGAATTCCATGCGTGACACTCCACATTTGATAGTATTTTGTTTAAATAACCATGTTTCTTAATACTGTTGTCATGTTTGTTATCAGTTATGTACATGTGGGTTTATGTTACATCTTCTGTTGTTTAATGAATGTTTATGGCATTATTTTAGTGACGTGTGTTACCATGAAGGTGTTTAGTGTTTGCGTGAATGACTCTGTGCACCTTCTATATATTAGTATATACTTCAGCTTGTGGAAAAGCTACTTGTGATGGACTGATTCTTCATATTGCTGTCTCTTTTACCACCTGCATTATTATGGTGGTTGTCAATTTATGTTAAAGATACAAAACAGATTTTAGTAGCAGTGTGCATTGTTGAATTTACTAGATTACGCTCAAATTTTCTTGTTTGTAATTTACAGTTTTATACTGTAAAATTTACAGTTTGTTCTGTAAATGTTTTTACACGGCATATCATTAATTTCTCATATTTATATTCATATTGTTTTAATTTGTCAGTCATCTCCAAGCAATAAGTTTGTGCGCGAGTTTATTGCGTTCTGAACAACTAGAAAGTCTGGTGGAGTGTGATCCTCAGTCGTTTAGTGTATGATGGACAGTTTTTCCTCTGTAACTATTTACAAAGTTGGCAAGTGTCTGATGTCGTGTTTTAAAATCTGTTCAGATTTTAAAAGTCGTGTGATGTATCCCAGCCCTAATTTCTTGAAAACTGACCAACACGACTTACTACCACTGTTTGTTTTTTTTTTGACCAAATTTCATTAACATCTCATGCCGGGTTGCGTTTCCCAAAAGCATCGTTAGCTAACAATGGTCGTTAGTTCCATTGAACTCTATTGGTAACGACAGAATTTACGACCATAGAACGCACCACCGGGTGGTAACAGATTGTGCTGGATTTTATATTTCAAATTTATTATGACTTTTATTTTGATATTCATTTTGGGCTGTGAACTGAATTTCCTCCTTGTCTCCCCCTGGCTTCCTGTTTTAAGAGGAAATAGGCCATATTAGTTTAGTGTTCAGTGCAAGGTGCTCCATGCGGTTCCTAACACCCAAGTCCATCTTACCTTTCACAGCCCACTGAGATGTAATGTCTGCAAGTAATTGTTTGATCACGATGTGAGCTTGTAATTTGTATTTTGAGTATGTTATAATTGTGTAAAATTATGTTAGTATAATACCAGTTGATTTATGCTTCAGCATGTTTGGCATTTTCTGCTCATTTCCAAAGTGTTTATCTGTGTTGTTCTATAACTTTATTGTTAATTAATGTATTTGATGTTGGTTTTCCTGTTTACCTTGTGAAATTTATGTTTGTGTATTTTCTTTTCTTTGTAGTTTCACACTTGTCATGCTTAAACTTCAAAAACCGAGTCTTTGTCTTCATGGAGTTTATAGTGAAAGTGTTGGATAGCTGGATTATTGTTAAACATCCAGTGAAGCCAGTGCCATTGATTACATGTAATCTGGATTATGTAATCAGATTCCAAAAATTAAGTACTTGTAATTAGAGTATAATACATTTTAAAATCAGTAAATTATTCCTAATTTGATTTGCCCTAATTCTCTCTCTTAAATTTTAATTTCTAAAATTCTACCGCTTTTATATATTTGGAAAGTTTTCCAGCTTTTCATCAACTCACAAACCCCCTGTAGTTCATTCATGAATCCCTGGCATAATGCAATGTTAAAATCATGATGTTGACAAATAATGGAATATATTTTAGGTCAAAAGTAATCAAAAAGCACAGTAGTCATAATATGTGTAATCCAACAGATTACATTTTAAACTATAATTTCCGTCATGTAATTTATAATCAGTAACAATCTACAATTTGTAAGTAATCTACCCAGCACTGTTCAACATCAAACCCATTTAATGGCTGATTTGAAAGCCACAGTGAAGATTTTAACTTCTTACTCATCATATGACTTCAGAGGACTACAGTGCATGAGTCATGATGATGACCACTTCTTGACTTGCCTTAATAGGAAAGGATATAGACTGGGCACTTTTTCCAAAATACGCAATTTTATTCAAAATTTCACCTTCTGTGTTCCACAAAAGAAATAAATTCATACGGATTTGAGAGTGAGTAAATGATGCCATATTTTTCATGCACGGATGAAATATTCCCTTAAGGTCTTTCTTCTTTAATCACCCCAGTGACCTTAAACCACTGAGAAATCCACATGATTAAATCCCGGTCAAGCCCCCGAACAGGGTTTATTCAACCCTGAACGACACAAGCGCAAGCAAACACCCAAAACAGAGTTAAACTGCAGAGTGGAAACCTAATACTCGACCTCATGGCACAGAAAGCAAACGAAGTTCATGAAGACGACAACAGAGAGAGCTTTCCTGGTGTATATATAATGTCCTTTTTATAGTAACACCGAACTCATGCTGTGCATTGTCATGCTTGAAGCTCCTGCAGGCGTGTGCTGCTGCTGCCACTGTCCTCTACACACACACCCAGCCCATGACAAAAAATCACACTCGCATACTATAAGAAAATGCACTGTATGCCTCTGTATGTGGGTGATAAACACTTCAGAAGCTAGAATGAGTAACATTCAGTGTAGCGTGAGCATGCACATGAACACTGCTGTGAGAGGGTTAAATGGCACTGTTTATTTAAATGCACTCTTCACTTGCGAGTCGTGACAGAGAAACGCTCAGCCCCATCCCCTCCTGAAGCGTGAACTCATGCGTCTCCTTACCTTTGTGCACGCCTGTGTACTTGTCCTTGATCACAGTCAGCTCGTAGATCTTGCCGAACTGCTCAAAGATGGGCTTGAGGTCCTTCTCCTCCAGATTGCGCGGGATCTGCCCGATGAAGAGTTTGATGGCGTCGGGCTCCTTCATTGGGTCGAGGATGTGGAGAATGTCAGAGCTCTGAGGTCGGGATGAGATGAACGTGCGGAGAGAGAGAGAGGATGGAGGTGTGGACGTTGCCTGCGGAGGCGGGGTGTGATCAAAACAATGAATGAATGAATGGATCTTCAATTTAAGCACCATTTTAGAGGCTTTTATGTCATATAAAAACTTACTGTAAAGTATTATTCTATGGTATGCATTATCTATCATGAAATGACAACAAACAATACTTTTTATTTATATAGCTAGTCATCTCGGTTAATACTCTATTTATTTATACACTAATTGTTTTTAATGTTAATATGGATATATACAAATGAATATTAACCAAGATGAATAAATGCTATTGGGTATTGTGCATTCATGTTTATTATTGTAACCAGTTAATATATTGTTAAGAGTTACCAATACTGGTGGTACTGTAAAACACTAAGTAAATATACTGTATGTGTAGTTTTTATCCCCCAAAATCAGACTCATTAAAATGACCTCATTGGTGTGACCTATGTTGATTCATATCTGACTTCAATAAAACCAATTAGGTTACAAGACAGTGCATCTTTCCTTACTTTAATATGGTTCTTCCTGTATTAAAAAGAGGCATAGTCGACCGAATATTTTATAAATAAATAAATGCACACAAAATTGTGCATTATAACTCTGAATTCTGACGAGAAACAATCAAACAAAAGCTCGTGCGTTTGCATGTAATTACAGCGATTATCATGAATGCACTAAAACAATTATGGCATCTTCACGCGTTCAATAGAACAAAGACCGATATGATTCCCAGAATAATACGCAGATCAATATGAATAAACACGCGCGTATCGCCTAGAATGAACGAGCGCATCCTTTGTTTCGGCGGCGGAGGCTCTGAAGCTCTTTGTCCGTCTCCGTTAACGCATAACGGTCCACGTTCACACGAGAGGAAAACACCCACTTCTGAAGACTGAAAACAGCTCACCTACAGGGCCGACTTTATCCTCGCAATCTTCGGGTGGCTCCTCTATAGATCCGTGCTGCGTCTTCAGGGGTCCTCGCGCTCGCTGTCACTCACTGCATCTTTAACCTCTCTCGTAAAATCACAGTTTCGCCCAATTTCTCTCTTGTCATTAGTATACATATATTGTGTTGTAAGCTCTAAAATAATGCACTTGAAATATTCTTTCACAACACATGTGTTATTGGTTGTGTTTGCTCCTTTCCTCATCTCCAATTAACGCTTGAGATGTGACGTCACGCCGGTGTCTCCCTCTCACGAGCGCTTGTCAAGCTCGCGATGTAACGGGCAGGGAACGTCTGCAACTTACAGCTCTCTTAAAACAACACAGACTCTCACATGTCATTCAATATGATTAGAAAAGATCAGTTAAAGCACAAGTTGTGCATGATTTATCAATGCAGTACAGGGATGGCGCTGTTATGCAAAGGCACATTTACAGTAGCACACTCTGAATGACTTGTAGCTTCCGTGGATACTGAAACACTGATTGAAAACGCTGTAACATACTTATAGTAGGTTATACATAAAAATAATACTTACTTTTCAGACCCCCTTTTTTGTTTAAATTCGTAAATGCAAGCCCCTTAAAGGGACAGTTCACCCAAAAATAAAAAATGTTCTGTTAATTTACTCACCCTAAGGCCATCCAAGATGTAGGTGACTGTTTTGTTTCCCGCCCCCAGTAGAACAGTAAAGATGATTTTTAGCTGGTCCTTGGTGATTCATAAAATGCAAGTCAGTGGCTACCTGCACATTGAGAGTCAAAAAAAGCATAAAGAGGCAAGACAAAATTAATAACCGTGTATATATAACGATATATTGAGGTCTTATGAAGAGAAACGATCGGTCTGTGCAAGAAAATGAACATTATTTACAACATTATTGCCTGTAATAGAGGAGCCTCAGGCAAACGTTCTGCTGGATCGTGAATGAATCATTATTTTGAACCGGTTCTTTTTAGCGAACTGAATGAATCAGTTCACCAAATCAGATTGAACCGTCTGAAACAGTTCGAGCAGCACAGGACACAGATATACAAGTTACTCAATCAAAACTCACTTACGGACGCCTGACAGTCACTCCGACTCAAAATGAGCCAAAATACCGGCGTATCTGATCCTATGATGAATGAACTGATTCAGTGCTGAGGAAACAGTTCGACTCGGACCGAAGACTGATGAGCCGCTGATGTGCGCATGCGTGAACCAAGCACTTGAACGAAGGGGCCAAATGAAAGGTGAGCTGATGAAAACTAGTTTATTCACTTTATATGCTTTAGACATGTAAAACATTCACGTTTCACATAATTATTGGGTGCTTTAATAATAGGCCTATAATTGCGTAAAAACTACGCTACGTCATTGCATGACTACGTAAACAAACTGGTGATTACAGGTAATAATGTTATAAATAATGTTCGGTTTCTTGCACAGATGGATCATTTTGCTTCATACAGTCTCAATATGTCTTCAGGAGCCACGGGTATTAATTTTGTCTTGCCTGTTCGTGCTTTTTTTTGACTCTCAAGTGCCGGTAGACACTGACTTGTATTTTATAAATCACCAAGGACCTCGGTTTCAGCTAAAAAAATCTTCTTTACTGTTCGACTGAGAAAAAAAAGTCACCTACATCTTGGATGGCCTGTGGGTGAGTAAATTAAAGGGGTCATATGATGCGATTTCAAGTTTTCCTTTCTCTTTGGAGTGTTACAAGCTGATTGTACATAGATAAGATCCCTGAAGTTGCAAAGACTAAAGTCTCAAAACCAAAGAGATATTCTTTATCAAAGTTGGCATATAGGACCTACAATAATGTACAGTATTTGAAAAATAATGTGTTTTTTGAACATTAAAGCATGTCAACATATTCTGTTACACAAAATAATGATCTTTAAAAAAGCATCATATGACCCCTTTAACAACACATTTTCATTTCCGGGTGACTGTCCCTTTAATCGCGCACACTGGTGATGGTGTAAAGCATTGGTTCTTAATCCTGGTAAGCTCTGCACATTTCGCATGTCTCCCTTATTTGACAAACCTGATTCAGATCATCAGATTGAGACCCACTGGTGTAAAGTGTTAGTTTGTGTTTTGGATGAGAATGTGTTATTGGTTGACAGTCCCTGAAGCTCCCATTGTGTTGCTGAACGCTATCTAGATCATCAGCATCATGGACTTATGTATACAGGCAGCTCATCATATTGCAATCTAATGTTGAAAGAGGATTTATAAAACAGAGCTCGGAGTATCTAAATGGATGAGCAAGCCAGATAAACACAACTTTAAAACATAAATATAATTCTGAACTGCATGTGGAAGGAAAAAATGTTTATTCCACTTATTATTAACATCAAATGTAACTATTTATTGACAATAGTGTATCACATTCGCCGAAACGGTGATACATTTTAACCCTTGCGTTCTCACTCGGAGCCCCGTGACCCAAATGCGCCTGCTGGGATGTGACAGGTTTCAGAGTGACTTACTGTGAAAAGGTCACCATCTGCCTCCAGTGCCCCCAGATCCAGACCCCTCCTCTTCTCTTCTGAGGTCACACATTATGCCAGGAATCACCTCAGGCTGGCCTGTGAAGTAGGTGGTCTTAGGCAAAAGATCTGCCTTATGAGAGCAGAAGATCAGAACAAAGTTGTAGTTTCTCAGGTGTCATTGTCATTAATAAATGCTGCTAGACTTTTCCCCCTCAGGAGTAACTCCACTTACTGTGCAATTATCGTTAACTTTTATATAATAAAAATGTTTATATTAACATTTAGTTATGAAAGCATTAGTTTTAGCACTGAAACTTCTGCACAGATGACAAAACAGTAGAATGGTTTTAGGTTTGTTTATTATGAATAATAATTGTGGTAAAATCTGCAGACACTGTCTATTCCATAACAAAGCAACATAAATGTGTAGCAACAAGTTGATCTTGAATTTCTAAAGACTGATCCGTTTAAGAAAAACAAATAAATTATATGCATTTTATCATAGATAAATAGCTATGTTTCCTGTTTCATATATAAAAGCATCTTTTTATTCTTCTAAAGAGTATCTGCTAAACGTATGTGATAATATACATACAAAATATGTACATAAACTCTGACATGACACACACACACACACAACTGACTGTATTTATATACTAAAATGTAAAATGTTTGCAATCAGGACTGAGTCAAGTTACTGAGACAAAAATCCACCCCAGCTCTGCCATTATTCATTTATATATTCATTTGCTCACTGACATACTGCTCATTGCATAATAGGTTGTGGTCGCCTATTGGTTATAGCTATGGGCTGGTAACAGAAAGATCACATGTTGTAATACTAGAGAGTATTTTTGATCTGTTTTGATCTAGGGCAATGGTCTTGTATTGTACTTGACTTTGGCTGAAATCACTATACTATTTGCATATTTAATACTTATGCAATGGATAAACCACACAAATAATGCTGCCCTAAATGCTTTCTACCTGCGCATATATCCATAGCAACCATTTAGGCCTTAGATTACACAATACGAAATGCACAACAAAACTGTGTTTTATAATAATGAATTAAAACAAGTAATGCTATTGTGGCTCTGATTCTGTAATAGTCATATTTTAAAAGAATAGTTCACAGAAAAATGAAAATTAGCTAAAAATGTAATGGGTGCCGTCAGAATGAGAGTCCAAACAGCTGATAGAAACATCACAATAATCCACAAGTAATCCACAGCACTCCAGTCCATCAGTTAATGTCTGGAGAAGACAAAAGCTGAAACAAATCCAGCATTAAGATGTTTTTAACTTTGAACCGTTGCTAAAATATGAGTCCATAATAACGCTTCCTCCAGTGAAAAAGTAATCACATGTGAATCAGGAGAGAAATATTCTTAACAGCTAAACTTACAACAGCTTTAATGATGGACACCTTAATTGCTGGACTGCAGTGGTGTGGATTACTTGTAATGTTTTTATCAGCTGTTTGGACTCTCATTCTGACGGCACCCATTCACTGCTGAGGAGCAAGCGATGCAATGCTGCATTTCTCCAAACCTGATGAAGAAACAAACTCATCTACATTTTGGATGGCCTGAGGCTGGTCACATTTTCAGCAAATTTTGATTTTTGGGTGAACTATTCCTTTAACTTACATTGAGGGCAACCAATAAAAACAGCCAGAAATAACAAAGCCAAAACACACAAACAAAAACATGTCACACACAAAATGACAAAAACACGAAACACCAAAACAACTGATATACATTCAGATAAAACCAACCTAAAGAATAAAGAGTGAATCAAATACAGAGAGCTGATCATGATGCTCCTCTTCTCGTAATAGCTTAATGTACTAGATTCATAGTAGATTTCCAGATCTCTGTTCACACTGCACTCAAATACGATCTGTGGGACTGACTGTCAGCACTAAGTGTGCTATTTTAAGACAGCCGTGAGCACTTATGTTGTAGCATTCATGTTCTTGCTGAAGTACTGATATTTTAAGGACCATTTAGGGAACTGAGACAAGGCCAAAGGGACTATTTTTGAGGGGAGAATCAATGTTTGCATAAGAATCTATCACTTTTATGCAGTAATTATGATGCATGTTCATGATTTTAATTGGAAAATGTAATATTTGTCTCTCTTTTTCAACTTTTTCAACAGTAGGTTTTTAGTGCCAATACAACATAATTAGGAGTGAAGGACGCACATTAGGTGTGTAATTGATGCTTGTCATCTGTTTTATCATACTTTGGTCGCACAACTCATAAACTGAATAAATGAGACAGAATACTGGTTCAAATACCAGATTCTGTATCCATTGCAATTAAAAAGAAACCGTTATGAAACACTTCATGTGTGACGAAAGCACAAAAGCAACTTCTAGAATTGTTCCCACTTAACAATATCTTCATATACGTGTCCAGAATGTGGACCTGCGATGTCAGTGCATTTGTTTAAAGATCATTTAAGGAATGGATTAGTATTTGACAGTATAGTGTACTAAACAGCCCTAGCACTGCCGCCGACTCGTCATCAATGGGGAAAGAGCTACCGTGAATCATTTGAGCCTATGAGCCCATATGCGATAACATTTTAAAACTTTCACTTTAAAGGGATCCTGATCTCAGCTCAGTTCAAGTCGGAATTCTCTCCTGGACCTGAACCTGACTTCTCTGTGGCTTGTGCAGGGTTAATGTCTTTTGGCCCGCTGAGCACTCTGGGTGCAGGACGCACAGCAGGCGGTCTTATAGTAGGAGTAGACGCAGAGTCGAGCCTGGACCACCATTACGCAGTTATGCCGTCTGTCCTTACAGTTCTCATCTACAACAAGAGAGATGGGAAGAGAGAGAGAGAGAGAGATTATACTCTGAATCATTATACAGAATGCAAAAACACTCTCACACACACCTTCGAAGGGACTGCAGGGTATGGTGTTGCAGGTGCGCTCGTGGGCAGGTTTGGAGTCCAGATCGCAGGCTGTGTTGTGCTGTTTGTCAGCTGTGAGACACCGCACCTCCCGCGTCTGCACCCCTTCACCGCAGGACCGAGAGCACTGGACAGACACAGAGGGGAAGTCAGTGACAGCAGAGGAAGGGAAGATACCGCAGGACAGATGAAGTCGTCCTCACCGTGCTCCACTCGGTGGTGAACCACTGCGGTTTGCAGGGCTGCAGTTCACACGGCTGCACCGGAGACGGTTTCTCCAGGTGTGAGCACTCACTGGCGGCGCTCACGGTGAAGTCACTTCCTGTCTTCCTCACGCAGATGATGTCCCTGCGCTGGGTGCCGTTTCCACACGCTGTGTTACACTGTTCAACAGAGAGAGTCCAGAGACAGAAGGTGTCTTTACACAGCCGAGCTAAGGCTGCTCTGTACCTGCTTAGAATTCAGTGACAACGGTGCAATGCTGCATAAAAGCCAGACTAACTCATGCCTGCTGAGACCCACTGCAGCCCCTAGTATCAAGGTATACAGCTGTAATTGCTGAGTAAATGCATTTATGCCACCTCTGAGCAGCATTAAACAGGCTGTGGAAAGACACCTAAATGCCACTTCAGAAGAGCTTCTGTGCCACCTTTGCAGTGTAAATTTGGCAAGAGTGACGACTGCCAACACACTCTCATGACAGCTTACTGGACTATTCTATTACATTTCATACTAGTCTATTCTATTCATCTTTATTCTATGTTCTTTTCAATGTTATTCTTTGTATTTTAATTGAATTTTTAAACATTATTCTAATTGACTTCAGCGATTCAGTTATTATATTCTACATTGTTCTACATTTAACTTTGTTCTATTCTATGTATCTTTATTCTATTCAATTTTATTCCATTCTATTCAGCATTTTTCTATTATATTTTATTTTGCTCTATTTAAATGTATTAGGTTTCCTCTGATGTTATTCTATTCTACATAATTCTGTTTTAGAACACTCCAATTGAATTATTTTATATTTTTATATATTTTTTATATTTATTCTAATTTACTGGTTCTGTTCTGTACCATTCATTTATTCTATTCGACATTGTTCTACATTTAATTTTGTTACATTTTATTCAACTTTATTCTGTTTTGTTCAGTTATTTATTTCAACACTGTTCTATTATATTTAGCTCTATTGATTTAGTCTTTTTGGTTCTCTTTGAGGAAATTCTAATCTATATTATTCTATTATATTTTTAGAACAATCTAATTATTTAAACTTTATCCTAATTTACCTGTTCTGCACTATTCTGTTATTTTGTTAAAATGTATATTTAACTTCTATTCTATTCTATTTATCTCTATATTGTTCTATTACTTTTAATTATTTCTGTTTAATTTAATATTAAATTTTATTAGTTTTTTACATTATATTTTATATTATTCTATTTGAGAATGTTCTAATTGTATTATTCTAACTTAATTCTAAATGGCTTGTTCTGTTCTGTACTATTCTGTTATTATATTCAACATTGTTCTATATTTAGCTTTATTCTGTTCTACTCATCTTTATTCTATGCAGCTTTACATTTACATTTAGTCATTTTACAGACACTTTTTATCCAAAGCGACTTACAAATGAGGACAATAGAAGCAATCAAACCAACAAAAGAGCAACAATATTTAAGTGCTGTAAAAAGTCTTGGTTAGCCTAACGCAGTACACGTAGCAAAGGCTTTTTTTTTTTAAATAATAAAAAGAAAACAAGTAGATAGAATAGAAAAAGAATAGAGAACCCTAGTGTTATAGAGGCTCATTGTTTTTTATAATAAAAAGAAAGCAAGTCGATAGAATAAAAAAAATAGAGAGTGCTAGAGTTAGAGGCTCAATATATATATATTTTTTTTTGGTTTTTGTGTTTGTTTTTTAATTAATAAAAAGAAAACAAGTAGATAGAATAGAAATAGAATAGAGAGTGCTAGTGTTAGAGGACCTTTTTTTTCGGTTTTTGTGTTTGTTTTTTAATAAATAAAAAGAAAACAAATAGATAGAATAGAAATAGAATAGAGAGTGCTAGTGTTAGAGGGTCAAGGTTTTTTAATAAATAAATATAATCTGAAATATCTAAATAAATTGAATCTATTTACATTTAGTCATTTAGCAGACGCTTTTATCTAAAGCGACTTACAAATGAGGACAATAAAAGCAATCAAAATCAACAAAAGAGCAATGATATGCAAGTGCTATAACAAGACTCAGTTAGCCTAACGCAGTACACGTAGCAAGTTTTTTTTTTTTATTATATAATAAATAAAAAGAAAACAGAATAGAAAAAGAATAGAGGAAGCTAGTGTTAGAGGCCTTTTTTTGCTTTTGTTAATTGAATAATAAATAAAAAGAAAACAAAGATAGAATACAAAAAGATTAGAGAAGCAAGTGTTTTTTTTTTTTAAGAAAACAAGCAGTTAGTAAATGAATAGAGTGCAAGTCTAAAAGTTATTTATTTTTATTTTTTTAAAGAATAGAATTAGAATAGAGAATGCTAGAGTTAGAGGGTCAAATAAAGATGGAAGAGATTTTAGCCGATTCTTGAAGATGGTTAAGGGCTCAGCGGCTCAGATTGAGTTGGGCAGGTTATTCCACCAGGAGGGAACAGTTAATGTAAAAGTCTGTGAAAGTGATTTTGTGCCTCTTTGGGATGAACAATAAAGTGACGTTCACTTGCAGAACGCAAGCTTCTAGAGGCACATATTTTGTTAAATTGTATTCTACTCTTCATTCTACATTCGAACATTCTACTGCTCGATTATATTTTTTGTTCTATTTAATTTGATGTGTTTTTTGACATTATTCCACTCCATTATTCCATATTATTCTGTTCTATTCAATTCGATTCGACTTCATTCTTTGACTTGTTCTTCTATTGTATTCTAACACAGACCTTAACACTGGAATATAAATCATTGATATTTGCTGTAGGCAGACGGCCCTCACCTGTCCCCAGGGTCCGGTGTACCAGAGGTGGGTGGGTGTACAGGGGCCCCCGTTACAGGCCTTCATATCAGCCGGTTTCTCGCCCCCACACTCCACTCCTCTGTCTCCTTCTCTCCTGCCTCCGCCGGTCAAACACACCACCTCTCTCCGTTGGATGCCCGGCCCGCACGTCGCAGAGCACTGACAGAGAAAAACGGAGAAACATTTCCCACATTTAATTAAATATTGCTACATAAACATTGAATTTAATCAAATGACCTGAATCTGAAGCATGCATCTCACTGGTCAGTACTCACAGTGTTTGTCCAATCTGTGAAGTACCAGTTAGTGACACAAGGACCCATGTGACAGTCCTCAGTGCGCTGTGGGCGGAGCCTGTCACTGCACTCCCTGTCATTCACAGTGTTGCCATGGTCACTGACACAGCGCACGCTCCGGGATATCTTCCCCACTCCACAATCCACTGAGCACTGTGGGAAACAGACACATTTACATACACACACAGACAGCTCAAACACGTCTATGTGACCAGACTTACACACACTTACAGACTAGAACAAAACCACATATTTTCTAAATCGGCTAGTCAGTGGGTTGCCTGAACAACTAGCCTGGATGAACTATTCTGGATTCATCTGACCCATATCAAAACACATTTCATAGGAGGAATTAACACAAGAAAACATTTTGCATTTAAAAACAGTATGAAACAATGCAGAGGTCTCGATTCACGAGACACATTTTTAAAAGTTGGACTATTTTTAACTTGACGCAGTCTCTTAAAAATGCAATGCTTGAGGCTGGACTGTGCAACTGTGCAAGATGCAGCGCCCAAAAACATCCATCTGCATCTGTACAGCTTCACAGGATCATTGACCCTTGTGCATCCTTAGGGACATTTTTGTCTTTTTCATTTTTTTTCTTTTTTTTTTGGCTGTTAATGCAAACAGCAAACATTTTGCCAAAAACAATTTTGTAATACCGGTATTTCACCCTCATTTACTTTCATAAATCTATTTTACACTATGTACAAAAATGGTTACAGTCAGTCAAAAATGAAAATTACCCCATGAGGTACTCGTAATGCGTCTATGAGAGAGTGGCGTCCAGCGGATGACATTCTTACAAAAACGCATCAATTCGCTTCAGGAGGCCTTTATTAACCCCCGGAGCCGAGTGGAGAATGATTTATGATGGATGGACGCAGTTTATTGGACTTCTATTGGACTATTGAATATCAACACCCATTCACTGCCATTATAAAGCTTGGAAGAGCCAGGATATTTTTTAATATAACTCAGATTGTATTCGTCTGAAGGAAGAAAGTCATATACCCCAAAGATGGCTTGAGGGTGAGTAAATCATGGGGTAATTTTCATTTTTGGGTGAACTGTCCCTTTAAGGACAAAAATGTCTCCCATTAAAATGAAACCTATTAAAACTGCAATATTTATTCCCAGTGCCATTGAAGCATAAAATCATGCATTCTTTGTTAATAGGCTTTCATTCTGTGGGCAAGCCTTCAGAATTTTTACTGTTTTTATTTTTAATTTTAACTATTTTCCTATTATCAGCGGTTTCCTATTAACTATGGAGCAAATGCCTGTTTTGTTCCTGTTTTCTGCTTCTACTAAAAAAAATGTGGGTATACTGGGAACGGATATCAGAGTGTGGTTGTGTACCGTGTGTATGTGTGTACTGAGAAATGTGTGTGTGTGTGTGTTTTAATTCTGACACTGCACAAAAAATAATAATACATCACAATTAATGTAGTTTCAAATCACTGACTTAACCAAGACTGTAGTAATAAAAAAAAAAGCACATTTTGTATATGGATTGGAATGAATTAATTATGATTTTTCATATAAACCAACCAAAAACTGTGGTATTATGTAAACAAACCAGCATTTAAAGGGTGAAAAAAGGCATTTAGGTAATTATGAATGATAAAAACAGATATTTTGGTAATTATGATCAGGACTGATCTAATCTATGTCAGTGAAAGTGGAAAAAAAAATATTAATATAATTTTTTTTCCTTTTTAAGGTCTTTCTTGTCCTATAAACTTTTTTAAATTGATGCACAAGGGAAAGGAGTTTAATGACAACTGTATTGAGAAGGTTTGACAGTGCAAACTCCTAACCCTAACTCTAATAAAAAACCCACAGCTGCTCCAATATAAAAACAATCTATAATCCTCCTCACGCATGCGTGTCTTACCGTGCTCCAGTTGGTGCTGATCTCCCAGTGCGAGCAGACGCGCGGGTGGCAGGGCTGCGTGGCGTTGGGGCGGGTGAGACTGGCGCAGCGCTGAGGGTGAACCATGGTGGAGCGATTCCCAAAACTCTGCCTGCACTGTATGTGACGCTGCTGCACACCCCAGCCGCAGGAAACACTGCACTCGGACCACACGCCCATATCCCAGCTACACACACACACACACACACACATATACACACACACACACAGGTTCACTGAGATACTCATACAAACCCCATTCAGCAACCCTAATATATTCATGCAGCAAGTCTGTGGTGCAGGATGTGGACCAGCAGAAATCTGATGCTTTATAAGAAGCCCTTCCAGGCATGATTACAGAAAATTGTTTTATATTTAATCTGTAAAAGTTACTACTTTTCTAGATGGATGAACTTCTGTTTATGCATTACTGATGTAATTCCTGGGTTTGTTCCATGTGAACAGTGTTTAATAAAAAGTTATATGCCACACATGCTGTCAACAGAGCTTACGTTGCATTTAACCCGGAATGTTTCTGTAATAGTTGGTAATAATTACACACACACACACACACACACACACATATATATATATATATATATATACATATACACACAGTATATACACTACCATTCAAAAGTTTGGGGTCAGTAAGATTTTTTTTTTAAATAAGTCTCTTCTGCTCATCAACGCTGCATTTATTTGATTAAAAATACAGTAAAAACACTAAAAACGTGAAATATTTTTACAGTTTAAAATAACTGCTTTCGGTGTAAATAAACAATAAAATGTAATTTATTCCTGTGATGCAAAGCTGAATTTTCAGCATTACCTGATTATTTTCCAGGATTCTTTGATGAATAGAAAGTTCAAAAGAACAGCATTTATTTGAAATAGAAATTTTGTATGTTTTATAACATTACAATTTTGTAATGTTATAAATGTCTTTACTGTCACTTTTGATGAATCTATTGCATCCATGCTGAATAAAAGTGTCAATTTCTTTCAAAAAAAGAAAGAAAGAAAGAAATCTTACTGAACCCACATTTTTGAGCAGTAGTCTATGCACAAGCAGAGTTACTCACAATGGTGGACAGGGATGAACGTTACACGGTTCCTCCTCCGGCGCAGGTTTGGTTGCGGAGTCACACCTCCTCTCGTGGACGTCCTGGTCTGTGTGTCGATTCACACACACAATCTCTCTGTACTGAGAGCCTGAATACACACAAACACATATGCACACATCAAACAACAAGCAAACACACACATAATACAACATTTTTAGTGGTGGGTGACGTAAAACTCCATGGCAAGGTCTTCTGTGTTTCTTCTTTTAAAGGAATAGTTCACCCAAGAATGAAAATCATCTTAAAATGTGCCCACCCTCAGGCCATACAAGATGCAGATGAGTTTGTTTCTTCATCAGATTTGGAGAAATGTAGCATTGCATCACTTGCTCCTCAGCAGTGAATGGGTGCCGTCAGAATGAGAGTCCAAACAGCTGATAAAAACATCACAATAATCCACAAGTCCATCAGTTAACGTCTTGAGAAGCCAAAATAAACAAATTCATCATTAAGACGTTTTTAACTTCAAACTGTTGCTGAAATATGTCCTCTATATCCATAATATTGTTTTTCTTAAGTAACAAACGGAGACTTAAGTCTGGTCTGAATCAAGAGAGAAATCTGCACAGATCAAGCACCGTTTACAAGCCAAAACAGCTCTAAACAAATATGTGGAGGATTTTGATGTGAGAAACAACAGGAGACTTTTTCATTGGAGGAAGCATTAATATAATTTTATATATTATTAACAGTTTGAAGTTAAAAACGTCTTGATGCTGGATTTGTTTCAGCTTTTGTCTTCTCCAGATGTTAACTGATGGACTGGAGTGATGTTTTTATCAGCTGTTTGGACTCTCATTCTGACGGCACCCATTCACTGCAGAGCATCCATTGCTGAGACACTGATGCAATGCTACATTTCTCCAAATCTCTTCCGATGAACAATTAGATGTATCGACATCTTGGATGGCCTGAGGGTGAGCACAGTTTATAAATATTTGGGGTGAACTAGCAATAGTAATAATGTTGCTTGCCTAAGCAAACACCACTAACAAGAGTGCACAACGTCAGTCTGCAGCTCTTTAAACACACCAGAAGGAGGCGGCAGAGTGCAAATTCACACTGGGCAAAACGGATTAATCAAAACCAGTAGTGAGCAGCTGAGAAACCCCTCAAAAACACACACAGCCCTACAGAGAAACTCCCGAACAGTTTGGCACGTGTACCACAGCGCTTGGCTTTCTTTATATGTCAGTAGGCAATGGGTTCATGTTCTCTGAGTGTTTCCAGCTCTCCTATTACAAATAAACACAGCATTAATCCACCACGTCCACTCTGGATCACAGGTTTAAAGAAGAGCCTCTCAAAGCAGTAATGTGTGCTGTCATCTGCTGTAAAAGTGTAGATCCATGCTGAGTAAAATCGGTAAGATTTTTTCTCTTCTGCTCACCAAGGCTGCATTTATTTGATCAAAAATACATTAAAAACAGTAATATTGTGAAATATTATTACAATTTAAAATAACTGTTTTCTATGTGAATCTATGTTGAAATGTAATTTATTTCTGTGATGCGCAGCTGAATTCAGCATCATTACTCCAGTCTTCAGTGTCACATGATCTTCAGAAATCATTCTAATACGCTCATTCTAAAATGTATTTCTATTCTCTGACCTTTTCCACAGGTAGCCGTGCATTCTGTCAGCGCGCCTCTTCGCCACACAAACACAGGCTGATTGTCCAATGGGAGGTCTGTTCTTGGAGGGATCCGAGCATTACGATTGGGTCCTAGGCCCTGTGGGCGGGGCCTCTCTGGTGGCCATCGATCAGATACAGAGGAAGATGAGGAGGAAGATGAGAAGGCAGAAGATGACAAAGGCGGAGGAGCAACAGGATTCTCGACTGCCACTGACACGCCACCTGAAACACGTTTTATTAAAATAAAATGACATTTCTATTGAAACTTGTATGTCTTAAATATATTTGTAATTACAATCTGTAATGTACTTAAATGTGTTAAGAAACACAGCCATGAAAGTCTCTTTAAGTACACTCAAATGGACTTTTATTTCATTAATATTACTATATTATCTGCAAATATATTTTTAAAAAATATACTTTTAAGATTCGAAATACACTTACAATTAAGCACACTTCTTTTTCACAAGGGAAATTTGTAAAAAATTTAACAAATTTTGTGCAAACGTTAAAAAAATGTAGTGAAGGACAGTATTTGCTTTGCACCAGTGCATTTGAATTGTTGCATTGCTAACAGATGCTGTTGCTCATGTTTTCGGAAATTGTCATACTCTCATTAAAATTGTACTGCAAGTTACTGCATGTGTGAACATCCTTTAGAACATTCTGTTAGCTTAGCAACATGCAGCGTCAGACTTTGTTTAAATAAATTGCCACTGATGAGGTTCCCTTTCCTGGATGCTGCTTCAGAAGGTAACCTTGCAGTCTGTGTATGGAGTAGACAGTAAGGCCGTCTCACTAGGTTTTAATTCCTTGCTGAAAAGACCAGCTTAAACCAGCCTGTGGTGTGCTGGTATTAGCTGGTTTAAGCTGATTTGGTTGGTCTCCTAGCCTGTTCCCAAGTTCCACCAAAAATCGTTTTTAGTAGGGTTGGCACAGAACTAAAGCCTGATTCATGCTTTTAGCTTCATGTCACACACTCTCACTTTGACCCCATTCTCATAAAAACTCTGTTAATCATCCTCTGTTGCCCACTAGACACACACACACACACACACACACACACACAGTCGCAAGCCCGTTCTCCTACAATGACCTTAAAAGGTTTCAGCGGTGGCCAATAAGTGATGAGAGAAATAAGAGAAGACTGCTCAAGTGAAATATATCTGCACGGCACACACATATAAACACTATAAATTTAGAGTGAGAGAGAAGATCATCAGGAGAGAAAAATAGAAACCAAGATGGTGGGTGAGAGAGAGACTCTCTGTGACAAGGAGAGTGTAGGAAAACTCACTGATTTCTCGGAGCGCCGCCTGTCCTCGCTCTCTCTCTCTGTGTATTTCTCTCTCTCCGTCCCTCTGTTTCTCCACTGGGATGTAATATTCATAGTCTATGCCTGGATTCTGCCGGTGGAAAATAATCTACAGCGAGAGAGAGAGACAGCAAAAAACAGGTTAATAAACTCCAGCATATGGTAACGTCTCGCTCAAGTGAAATATATCTGCACGGCACACACATATAAACACTATAAATTTAGAGTGAGAGAGAAGATCATCAGGAGAGAAAAATAGAAACTGAGATGGAGGGAGAGAGAGAGAGAGACTCTGTGTGACAAGGAGACTGTTGAATAACTCACTGATTTCTCGGAGCGCAGCCCGTCCTCGCTCCCTCTCTCGGTATACTTCTCTCTCTCCGTCCCTCCGTTTCTCCACTGGGATGTAATATTCGTAGTCTATGCCTGGATTCTGTCTGTGGAAAATAATCTACAGCGAGAGAGAGATAGAGAGAGAAAGAGAGAGAGGCAGCAAAAAAGCAGGTTAATAAACTCCAGCATATGGTAACGTCTCACTCCATGACTGCATTTCAGTCAGCATCAGCCATATTTCACTGATGCACAGACACTCAGAACACACACACACACACACACACACACTCTCACACACACACACTCTCACACTCACACACTCACACACTCACACACACACACACACACACACCGCAGTATGTGGACACTCTTTTTCCTAAAATCTGCATAAACTTAAAGCTGGAGTACATGAACATGAACTCACCATTATTCATGAAATTCTTCTAAAACCAAACTGATGACACCTTAACTAGACCAATACTGAAGTCTAAACTGGTATCATTAAACCAGAGATACCTAAACAATACTGATACTCAGTCTTACTGAGGAAGGGTTACTTTAAAAAAAATATTCCGTTACAGTTACAAATGACTTAATGAAAAAAGTATTCAGTAATGTAATCCAAGCACCACAATATGAAAGTAGTGTAATCTGATTACTTTTGGATTCCTTCAGGGTCACCTATATAAATAAAGTCAAGTAAAAGTAATATCATCAAAATACTTATATTTATTATGGATATGATGCAAAATATAAACTATTTGATGCACAATCTAAAATATTTAAGAAACTGCCATGTTGTTGTAACTATGCTGTAACTAAATGCTCTGTTAATATGAAACCAGAACACAACAGAAATGTTTCCGCAACAGAAAAATAAAGAATACAAATTTGCATTTTTTCTCAAGCAAATATAATAAGAACAGATGCACTGAATTATGATAACATTAAACGATGCTAAAAATATTTTAGGATTCAAAATTACTGCAAAGTTTAATCCTGTGAAGTATTGCTGTTAGTCTGTTGGCAGCATTAAGCATCTAATGAAAGACTAAATGTGCATTTAAGCTGCTCATTCAGTTAAAACCTACAGCTTTGGGCAAAACTTTCTGGCTACACGTGCTGATCGAACACACCCGAGCTTCATTAAGAAGAGGAGATATAAGCAGAAGTAGAGAAAGAAAGGGTGAGTAAACTCTCCACTTCACCCGCTTATGGTGTTTTCTACCTCTGTTTTCCCTAGGCTCGAGCGAGTGACGAATCAGCGTGACTTCGCATTGCAGCGCCTCATTCATGGATCGCACTTTGCACTGTTTGAGACTTTAATAAAACCACCCATTTTCTGTTGATTTATACTGCTTCTGTGTCCTAGTATGACTACCCACACCACCAACACCTACAGGTGCATCTCAATAAATTAGAATGTCGTGGAAAAGTTCATTTATTTCAGTAATTCAACTCAAATTGTGAAACTCGTGTATTAAATAAATTCAATGCACACAGACTGAAGTAGTTTAAGTCTTTGGTTCTTTTAATTGTGATGATTTTGGCTCACATTTAACAAAAACCCACCAACTCACTATCTCAACAAATTACAGTCTGTGTGCACTGAATTTATTTAATACACGAGTTTCACAATTTGAGTTGAATTACTGAAATAAAATAACTTTTCCACGACATTCTAATTTATTGAGATGCACCTGTATACTAGACCAAAACTGAAACTTAAATTAGTATGACTACCCAAACGTCTGACACCACAACTAGACCAATACTGAAAAATAAACTAGTATCATTAAACTAGAGATACCTAAACTAGACCAATACTGAAAAATAAACTAGTATCATTAAACTAGAGATACCTAAACTAGACCAATACTGAAACATAAACTAGTATCATTAAACTAGAGATACCTAAACTAGACCAATACTTAAACTAGTGTTATTACCCAAACCACTGATACCTAAACTAGACCAATACTTATACAGTACTTAAACTAGTATGGCTACAAATCCAGTGATACCTAAACTAGAGCAATACTTATTCTTAAACTAGTATGACTACCCAAACCACCAAGACCTATAGTATACCGTACACTAATACTGAACTTAAATTAGTATAACTACCCAAACACGATGCCTAAACTAGACCAATAATGAAATGTAAATTAGTATCACTAAACTAGAATACCTAAACTTGACCAATAGCGATACTTAAACTAGTATAACTAACCAAACCACTGACACCTAAACTAGACGAATAGTGATACTTAAACTAGTATGACTACCCAAATCACTGACACATAAACTAGACCAGTACTGATACTTAAACTAGTATGACTACCCAAACCACTGACACCTAAACTAGACCAATAGCGATACTTCAAGATTCAAGATTTTTATTTGTCACATACATGGTTATATAGAGAATATATGACCAGCAGTGAAATGTAAGTAATAGTGAAATGTAAGTAAGTAATACTTAAACTAGTATGACTACCCAAACCACTGACACCTAAACTAGACCAATAACGATACTTAAACTAGTATGACTACCCAGACCACTGACAACTAAACTAGACCAATACTGAAACATAACTATTATCATTAAACTTGTGATGTCTAAACTATACCAATACTGATACTTAAAACTAGCATCACAACTTAAATATTGATAATTCAACTAGTCAAACACTGATACCTAAACTAGTATGACTACCAAAACTACTGACACCTAAACTAGACAAATACTGATAATTAAACTAGCATCACTATTTAAATACTGATAATTAAACTAAACACTGATAATTACAGTACTCCAATTCTGATAGTTAAACTAGTATCATTAAACTAGTGATATCCAAACTGGACAAATATTGACACTTTAACTAGTATGACTACCCAAACTACTGATACTTGACCAATACTGATATTTAACTACTTTATCACTACTTAAATACTGATAATGTGTGTATTTCTATTACTTTAAAATACTGTATTGTATCGTCTCATACTGTTTCCTGATATGAGCCGTTACTGGAAAATGAGAGAGCTCCTAACATGATTTAGGAGAAGTGTTATATTCATATAATATCATCATGAATAAACACAATAGGCATGTATAAACAGAATTGCGGCTCATTCCTTCCGTCCTTTCCTGCAGTAAAACCTCCCAGTTCAGAGTTTGTGCTCCATCATACACAAGCCAGACTTTTTCCAAAATTCTCTACTACATGTACGTGTGTGTGTGTGAGTGTGTGAGTGTGTGTGTGTGTGTTTGCTTACGTATAGCTGCAGCTGGGCTGTTGTGGGTCCAGGAGCGCTGAGGGTTTCTCCTCTCTCTTCTCCCTGCTCTTGAGGACCAGCTTTGGGTCGGCTGTAGAGGAAGGTGGTTCCTCCTGCCTGATACTCTCCCGGTGGATCGACCGCCCAGCGTCCGTTCACCACAGACTGACCTGTTCCACTGCGCAGGGCTGCAGACACAAACACATGTGATAATGACATGAGGTACTCACATTCACAACATACTGAGCTAGACATGTTCCTGAAAGATGTTTTGAGATTCATCTGACAGTCATTATTTGTTATGGAACGTGTGGAAGGCTGTTTTTAGCTGTCTGTAATTACAGATCTCTATTCTGCTTGTGATGATTTTTATGAGTTTCCTACCATAATCACACATCACATGAAACTAGGAATTCTCCTCCAAGAGGAGTTCATAGCCAAAGTGTCAAAGAAAAAGGAATGAAAAGGAAAGGATGTAGCACAGACATCAGAAAACTAAAATTAAGCAAATGTGTATGGCTCTCATGTGTCTCCCCATGAAACAGATCCCTAATAATGAGATCTCTGTCATATCTCAAATATTTCTCCTCATATTATGTTGAGAGTAAATGTAGATCTCAAACTGTGCTCTGATTTGCCAAGATAAAAATGATGGCAATCAAAGGTGAGAGATCTCAATATGAATGCATCATTATTCATCAAATTATTCTGAGACCAAATGATCAAAGCTGTGCTATTCACAACACACCGATTAAATTACAAATGACTCCTACTGACATCTAAACAAGACAATACTAATACCGGTACTTAAACTAGTATGACTACTCAAACCACTGACACCTAAACAAGACCAACACTGATTAAATAAACCAGACAAATGCTGATAAGCAAATAAGTATGACTAGCCAATCTACTGACACTTAAACTAGACCAGTAGTGATTCCTAAACTAGACAAATACTGACACAAACTAGTATGCCTAACACCTAAACTAGAACAATACAGATTGAAATTGATATTGATAAATAAGCTAGACAAACACTGATAATTACTAGTATCATTAATCAAGTGTATCATTAAACAAGTATTAACTAGTATCATTAAACAAGTGATACCTAAACTATACTAACACTGATACTTAAACTAGTATAACTGAACTATTGATACCTAAACTAGATAAATACTGATACTTAAACTAGTATGGCTACCTAAACCACTGACACCTAAACTATACCAAAAATAAGTTTAAAGGGGTCATATGATGCTGCTAAAAAGAACATTATTTGGTGTATTTGGTGTAATGAAATGTGTTTATGCCTAGTATATCATGACTTAAATTGTAATTGACCAAAGTTGCATGATTACCAAAACTACTGACACCCAAATTAGTCCAGTACTGATGCTTAAACAAGTATCATTCAACTAGTGATACGCAAAGTAGACAAACTACTGACGCCTAAACAAGACTAATACTGATAGTTAAACTAGTATCACGACTTAGTTACAGTTAATTATACTAGACAAACACTGATAACCAAAGTAGTATGATTACCAAAACTACTGACACCCAAACTAGTCCATTGCTGATACCTAAAAAATTATCATTAAACTAGTGATACCCAAACTAGACAAATATTTACACTCAAACTACTGACACAGAAACTTGACAAATACTTAAATACTCATAATTAAACTAGCAATCACTGTACACAAACACTGATAATTACACTACTATGACTACCCAAACCACTGACATTCAAACTAGAGAAGTATGGATACTTAAACTAGCATGACTACTCGAACTAGTGACACCTGAACTAGATCAATACTGATAATTACTGTACTTTTAAATAATCAAATTTTACATATTACAAAAATACAGTTTCTAGAAAGGAGTACCGTTAATGACTAATTCTGAGAAACATCATTACTCAGGCAGTAGTTGAAAGATGTCCAATATCTAACAAAACACCAGTAAAGAAGACATATCTTTCATACAAAACGTGCATAACATACATATTTTTTGGAGACTACTACGAATATCACATATGACCATACATCAAACAAAAATAATAAAAAAAGATAAATATAGATGAGTAACAGTATTTGAATATAAATCTAAATATATGATGAGGATTAATATAAGCATAAACACAATAAGTAATAAATCATAAATGAGTACATGAATATGAAAATCAAGAAAAATATAACAACACTGATTATTTGGATACATCATCACGTAACCCGGTGAGTGTTTAGTCTACTACAGCAGTCTGCCTCCGGGGCACAATCACACCATACTAGAGAGAAACGGACGGAGAAACAAACACAGACATGTCCACGAGTCTGACTCAGGGTCAAATTCACTTATGAAAACATGCCTGCATTAGCTAATCCAGCCTGGAAGAGATCCTCCCAACCCCACGCATCCTCAGCCGTGAATATGTGCATTCCTGAGTCATGTTCAGGCTAATATTAATATGAACGTAATTTCAGCATCCCTCTCAGGACATTGACTCATCGCTGCCCCAAACGCACCGCAGGCTCATACAATGGGACAATATCATCTGAATTTAGACTTGCACGCTCTAGATCTTCTGAAGTGATCAACAGCAGCTGTGAAGAATTTAAAAAATACCTCTCTGCTGGTGATCGCTGTTGTTTATGAGCTGAACATTTGGTTGGAGGTCTGAACTCTGAGCTGAGTTTCAGCCGAGGAACAATGACCAAGTCACACTAATCTCACATTAGCAGGTAGAAACATATCCCGATAGTTCATGCATTCCAGTCACACACGCATGCACACGCTTATGAATGTCAAGAAGAACTTCCATCAACTTTCATTGCTTTAAATTACGATAATCATGATTCCTAAAAAAACTAGTCCAACTAAATTCGGTCATCATTTACTCACCCTATGATGCGAACTCTTTAGTCAAAAAAAAAAAAAAAGGAGTTTAGCAGAATGTTCACGCTGCTCTTTTACTTCCAAAGGTGAATGGGGACTAGGGATGTCAAGCTACCAAAATGACAAAAACCTACACTGAAAACGTGAAATGACCGTGCCATTTATTTACATTCGGTTTTGTTTTAATTTGGTTAAAAGCAAATAAAAATCAATAGAAACTAAATTTAGTTTTAATAGTTTTTTGAATGCTGATGGGCGGAACACAGACTGGCTGCAGAAATTATTTATTTATTTATTTTTAGTACATAACAGAAAAAGATAGATTTTAAAATGACATTATAATAAACATAATGGTCTTTTAAAGTGGACATTCCTGTGAGTAAACTAAATTAAACATTGACTAACTAAATGTTTTTAGTTTTATCTAAAGTGAAAATTCTACTTTCTTATAGACTATTTAGCTTTTGCTTTTGGTGAAATTAAGTTGTAAAACGCCAAAATAAATATTATATTATACTGACCTGCATTAAGTAACATTCTGGCTTGTGTCTAAAGAAAATATCTTGATATATAATAATTTTCATCTTTTGGGAAAATAAATGTTTTTGATTAACATTAAGAGTTTCTACCAAACCATAAATATAATTTAAGAAAAACGAATATATTTGGCTGCAACAAATTAAAGTGTTTTCAGTGTACAATACAATAGCTTCATGCATTTATAAGGTAATTTTTACACTATTTTTGTATCTTGACAGACCCCATTCACTGTCGCCAGAGCTATGTGAGGGTGAGTAAATACATTTTCATTTCTGAGTGAACTATTCTGCCCTGCAAAGGCAAACCACAGTCTCAGTGATCACATAGTTCATGCATTTGATTTTGTAGGAAAATATTCCAAAAATGTATGAAATAAGATATAATTTAGTTCATTTATGAAGCTGTTTTCCACTAGTTAAGTTTGGCATAATGAACGTTTTTCAGGTTTCATTATTGTAGGGACATTTGGTCACCATAAGGAAAGACAAACAAAACAAAAATGACCACACACATACACCATGTTTGTGTTTCTCTCATGGTGGGGACTTTACGTTTAACACAGAGCTAATGACATTTTCTGACCCGTAACTTAACCCTCACACAAAGCTTTAGGCAGTTCTGTATTTTCATTAAGACATTATTTGTGACCCTGGAGCACAAAACCAGTCATAAGGGTACATTTTTTGAAATTGAGATTTATACATCATCTGGAAGCTGAATAAATAAGCTTTCCATTGATGTATGGTTTGTTAGGATAGGACAATATTTGGCCGAAATCTGGAATCTGAGGGTGCAAACAAATCAAAATACTGAGAAAATCACGTTTAAAGTTGTTCAAATGAAGTTATGCATATTACTAATCAAAAATTAAGTTTTTATATATTTACGGTAGGAAATTTACAAAATATATTCATGGAACATGATCTTTACTGAATATCCTAATGATTTTTGGCATAAAAGAAAAATTGATAATTTTGACCCATACAATGTATTTTTGGCTATTGCTACAAATATACCCCAGCGACTTAAGACTGGTTTTGTGCTCCAGGGTCACATTTAGTATTTCATTTAATTAAGCTGTTTCCTCAAGGAGAAAACTGCAGAAAATATTTCCAAACCAGACAGAGTTCGTACCCAGATAGTTGGGACTGGCTCGTCTCTCAGTGATGTTGATGGCCGTGGCCCCAGGCGGGATGTCCAGGATTCTGTGGTAGCCCAGCGGGACGCTCGTGTTTAGGAAACTTCCAGTGACCCTCTCACAGGTGCCGTCTCCCCCGCCGCACACGCCACAGCGATCCCGAACCAACCCTGAGCCCAACACACCATCACAGCCCTCGCTCTGACACACACACACACACACACACACACACACACACACACATAGACTTTCACTACTAAAAAGTTAATGAAGTAATAAATATAATTTGTTATAACCCCTATATAAATCAAGCCTCACACGTGGCACATGTTTAAATCATTGCATGTTGAACATTCTGGAGGAAACAGTGACTTTATTACCATTACAGTAATACATGAAGCTGCCAGATTCTAGAACTAAAGATCTGTAATGCTGTCCTCACAGATTTAGACTTAGAATTGAATCGCTATGGCTCTTTTCGGTGGTGATGTTATCATATTCGTGCATGTCGGCCTGTTTTCTCACCAGACAGCGTCCTCCCACACACACATCGTTGGGTGTGTTATTTGCGCAGGGCGTTCCATCTCGTACCCTCTCCGCCTGCCGCACGTAGAAACGATACCCGACCGGTCGACAGGTCAGCTCACACTGCTGCTCCAGACCCACTGCCACAGAACAACACACCAGAACATCATTAAACACCATTTCACATTACTGTACATTCATCACAGTAGCAGCTTTACCTTATATACTTCATATGATCTATTGCACTTTATTAAGGGTCTTGTATAAGAAGATGGCATTTATAACTAGCCCACAAAAAAACACATTTATGGAAAATAAACTGCAAAAATGAGTCATTCAAAAATCGCCACAGAATTTAGGTCACAGCCATGAGCTTATTAACATTGCTTGCCCGTGTTTGCATATCATGTGTGGCGTGCAGTATCATACCACTTTAGTATTTTACAGCTTGGCTGGGGTCATTGCATTTGCAAAGAGGTTAGCTAATTATAACAAACGTAATTTGCATATGGAGGTCTTAAAGGTGGAGTACACTGTTTAATTCAGAGATACAGTGGAAAACTGTCATTGGGTGAGTTTGGTTTATGGGCAACATGAGTGGATGTTACGGTGTTGTTAACTGAAATATATGCAAAATAAAATAAAATATAAATATTAGATAGAAAACTTTAACTTAAAAAAAAGAGAGAAATGTTGCTTTCTTTCCCATACAGAAATATATGGCATATATGCAACTTTATTAATTTACATATATATTTCTTACATGTCCGTCATTTATATTTACTTATATAATATCACCATGTATTGAAGGGTTTTAGGATGGATATTTGTGTACATGGCATATATATATATTACACATACATACATAAACATATTAATTATATGGGCTAGGTAATATGTTAATATAAGAAATTATTCAAATTTCTAATACGTTCCATATATGTTTTTACTTCAACTGACAAATTAATATATTGAAATTGTATATGCATACATTTATTACATTTGCGTATGGGTTGGCAAATAACTAACGAAATAAATTATTTTAATTTATAATTTAATTTATATAATTTTTAAGTACTAAAATTAAAAACTAATTTAAAACAAACTAAAAGTAAAACTGAAATAAAACTAAAATTTAAAACGAAAACTGAAAATAAAGTAAATGATCATTTAAATGATACGAATAATAAATGCATGAATAGCATATAAATGATACTAAAATAACACTGGTGGACGGAAATCAACAGTTCCATAAAAGAGTGCAATAAACATCATAAACGCATGATCAGAATGGATCCTTCTGCCCTCATGAATGAAAGTCTTTCTGAAACCAGCTTGTTTTTTCCCGTTGTATCTGTCCTCTTTGTGAACCTCGTGAAATCCCTCGGGTGCAGATGCGAGTCACTTCGGTCTCTCTCTCTCTCACAAACACAACACAGTCCTGAGCTATTAATTACAGCCAATCAATGTCATGATCAAAACACACAGGAAACACTCATTATTAATGGTGTTTACTAACACAGATACAACACACACTTGATATTTTCCATTTAGGATTTTATCCGTTTGTCTGGAAATTCCCTGTTACCTCCTGGCTTTCTGTGACTGTGGGAACACTGTGAATATCAGACCCACTTTGGCTCTTTTATCCCGGGCCAGTAAGTAACCAGCTAACCATGACCCAGAATGCACCAGCACATTCTGCATGCAAAAACAACTCACAGTTTCTCTAGAAAATGTACAAATCTAGTTACATATTTTGAACATCTGCTTATCGGTCCATCCGAGTTTTTGCTCTCTGGTCTTTCTGTCTATTTTTAGTCTCAGCTGGCCTACGGTCTGTTCATCTGGAGCACACAAAGAGCACTTTCAAGATCTGGCAAGCTCTAATCTGATTGGCTGATATCCGGCAGTAAGAGCACACAGGGTTTTATTCAGTCTTCAGGGCTGATTCTGTGAAGAACTCTTACCGAACTTGAAAATGTTTAGTTGGTTACATCAAATCTTTGAAAAAGCTGCAAATTTCACATAGTTTTCTGGGGCATTTTCTGGCTTGTTTTGAGAGAAAGTACTTGTTGCTTTTGGATGGCCATATATATAAATATAAATAAATAAATACTATATATATATATATATAAATGCTACAATAGCACATAAATAATACAAAATAAATAAATAAATAAATCTGACATGTAACTTAAAGGAGACATATTATGCCCCTTTTTACAATATGTAATATAAGTCTCTGGTGTCCCCAGAATGTGTCTGGGAAGTTTCAGCTCAAAATACTCCACAGAACATTTATTATATAATTTTGAAAATGCCTATTTGGAATGGAAGCAGAAACAGCTGTTTTTCGGGCCTGTCTCTTTAAATGCAAATGAGCTGCTGCTCACCGCCCCCTTTTCCAGAATAGAGCTGCGCCATTACAGCTCGTACTTGCTAAAAACATCTGTTTTGGTTCTGATTATCATGTTTATCGCGCTGAAATCATGTGTTTTAAACCATATTAGTTTCTGAGCGCACACAACCGAAGCACACGCACAGAAAGCAGCTGTCACAGCATGTGAGTACTAAACTAAGTTCTCATTCACACACAAGTTTACGTTAAAAACACGAGTAACAAAAACAGTGGGTTATGTCTGAGAAGGTAAACAGCTGGGAAATAAATCGCATGTTTATTTTAGATCTGTGTGGCAGCAGCAATATACAGTAGCCTAAATAAATCAATAAATGCACTGCTCTGTTGTCTCCTCTGGGGCTGGGACTCTAAACAGTGTTCTGTGCTCGTCTGTGCAGCCAAACACAGAACAGTTAGCATGCTTCGCTCAAACTTTCGCCATGGCATTAGAGCTGGTATGGCATTAGAACACCGTTGTCACTTGCGAAATCAAAATGACGGCGGTGTGGGTGGAAACTTACAGATTAAGGGGCGGTAATATTATAATGAGGTCCCTTTGCCACGTCACTAGGGGAGCGAAATCAGACGCGCTCGTTTCTCAGACGCTTGCAGAAAAAAACTTCCCAAAACAAAGTTACTGAGTTAATCTTTTTAACGTTTCCTTGGTTGGTAGATGCACCGGGGACCTGATTATAGCACTTACAACCTGGAAAAGTCAGATTTTCATGATATGTCACCTTTAAAATAAAAATAAAAACTAAAAATTAAAAAAGGTTTATACTAAATATGAATAAATACTATAATAACACACACAAAATACTAAAATAAAATATATATATATACAAAAATAAAATAAAATAAATAAAATGAATAAAACTGACAAAAGCATGTAAACAAATGAATAAAACCTAAAATAGAAGACACATTTAAAATAAAAGTGCATTTTAATACAAGATATGAATAAATACTATAGCACATTAATAATACTAAAATAAAATGTCAGAGGATAATAAACAGTTCAATAAGCGCTCATAAAGACTGCTCTGACGTTATTTTAAACATATTGTTTTTTATGCTGGTCCATCATCTCATTTAAATAACCCCGCCCCTAAACACAAAACAAACTGTGGTTGGTCACTTCACATGTCAGTCAGATCAGTTCTCTTCACGTCTAAGTGGGCGGTTCTTCCAGAAAATGCTGTAACGTGTAGCAGACTTGATCCAGTCAGTCAAAGGTCAGGTTACGTGAGATTCTCTTTCTCTCTGTCTGTCAGAATCAGCTGACACTGACAAAAGAGCAAGAGATTCCAAGCCTGTCTTTTCCCATTGCATCACAGTTATCTTTGAGAGATTATGATGGAGACAATGGTAGAGAGAGAGAGACGGTCACAGAGAGAGAAATGCCTTGAAGAAGGGCAAAAGCAAGAATACATAAGAATTATCTTCATTTCTCCTCTCTTTTTCTTGCTCTCTCTCTCTCTCTCTCTCTCTCTCTCTCTCTGGTGTGCAGACAGTGAGTCTATTCAGACTAAATATACTTCCCCACTATCTCTGTCTCTACACAAACTCAGAGAGAAAAGCAGACTCAGAGAGACAAGCGGTGCAGGACACAGGAAGACCGAGGGATGACGAGAGAAAGAAAGAAAGAAAGAACAGGATGAGAGAGGAATCCGTTCAGGGAAAGAGGGATATACAGAAAGACCAAAAGAAAGAGCTGGAATGTCAGAAGAAGAGCGCGAGCCTGAAAACTGTTCACACACTTCAGCCTCACATTTCACAAAAACATGTCTGCTCAGTTTGAAATTATGCAACAATAAATGTAATGTCTAAAATGTGGTTGTGAAATATGTATTAGAAGTGCAATGTATATATATAATATATATATATATAAAAAATATAATATTTGCTAGTTGCCAAGCCATTTCTCATTTTAATTTACTTTAACTTGAACTAAAACTTAAATTAAACTTAATAAAAATATACAGACATATATAAAAAAAATAAAAAAATAAAAAACTCTAAAAAATAAAAACTAATTCAAAATATTAATAAAAACTTTCACAGTATCTGAGTTATACTAAAATAACACTGATGCTCCAAACATTTAACAAATTATTTACTTTTCACTTAAATAATTTATGGTAATTTGTATTGTATCAATTTGTTTCTATTGTTTTAAATACAAATATTTTACTAACAATATCGAATGTTTAGACAGTAACCTTATGTAAACTGTGTCTGTGGGACACCATATTGTAAAAAGTATGCTTACACTATGCACAAATAGTGTATAAAATAATGCTTGAAACTACATTTGCTCAGTAAAAAGGTGCTTAACACTCCAAAAATGAATTCAAATGTAAATATACATTTCCACTGGAAACTTGTTTCAGCCATGATATGAAGAAAAAAAAAATTAAGTTTCCAAAAATATTTTTTTTTTATCTCACAATTCAGACTTTTTTTCTAGAAAATTCTGAGTTTAAATCTCACAATTTGGATTTTTTTCTCACAATTTTCTCTGAATTGCAAGATACAAACTACGAATTGTGAGATATAAACAGAACTGTGAGAAATAAAGACAGAATTGCAAGATACAAACTCAGAATTGCGAGATATAAATTCAGAATCACAAGATATAAGGTACAATTGCAAGATATCAACTCAGATTTTGAAAAAAGAAAATCAGAATTCGGAGTTTATATCTTGCAATTCTCTTTTTTCTTCAAATAGCAATTA